TAATTTTCGTATGTATTATTAGTCGTTTGCGTAGTATTTTCATATATGGCGGTGTGACTTTTCACTGAAAAAAAGGAAGCAAAAAAGAGATGCGTGGTAACGAAAAACGATTAGCGTGCCGACAACTCAGAAATGGAGCAAAACATTAGCTTTTGTTTATTGAACACATCGTGCTCCTCAGAAAACTGACAGTTTTAAGATCCGTTTGGTATGTCACAGAGAGATAATGTTGTCGAACAAAAATTGAGGTTCTTGTCCACTTACGCTCGCGAGGTCTCGTATGCTTCCCCACCTATGATGCTTTCTTTCCATATGTATGAGAGCTGTAATAAAATTGAAAAAATCTGTTTTATCTTGTATTTAAAAGAATTACGTAGCTTAGGACTGTACTTCATATGCACTTTGATGTTTCTGCCCATGATTGACTAATCTTCTAGTCATCTTTAGCATTCGTTTTCTGTTAAAATATTCATGACATTTTACTCGAGTTTAAAGCTTATATATTTTTAAATTTTCTGTGATAAAAAGAGCTTTAAAACAATGAAAACTGTCAGCTTTCTAGCGAACTTGATAAGTTTTATCCAACGATGTATTCATAAATAGAAAAGTAATGTTTTGCCCTATTTTTGAGTTGCTAGAACATTACATTCGATGGAACTTACATGCTTTACTTTTACCAGTTCTTTTTAAATATTCCGCTACACAACGATACACTAGTAAATACTGATCCTAAAAAGAAAAAGTCGGTTATTATTTTTCCACGTTAAAGTTTATCTATCTACAATCCATCAGTTGCATACCTTTGTTTGTATCATTCGTGGTCGATCTAAACGTAGCTGATACACCGTGCCCATTATATCTAATTTTGTATTAGCTAATTTATCGAATGTTTTATCATGTAGATAATTAATAGCTATGTCAGCTGCAATGTAAGTGCCAGTTCGTCCAACACCAGCGCTAACAAGTAAATGTTGCATACAAATTTGATGTTGAAAGAAAGTCAGAACTCAACATACCTGCAGTGCACCACTGTTGATCCTCTTTTAGAATTTCTTTG